CAGAGGGTACTAACCTATTCTGAGTACTTTATCAGAAAGTAAGAATTTAGATTTTTGATAAGGGGGACATAGCGTGGTGCCGAAGGTCATGCATGCTGGGATTGAATGCAGGGCATTGTGCATAGTAAGTATGCATTTACCACTGAGCTAAACCCGTTTCCCAAGAATTTGGATTTTTTTTTTTCTTTTTTGGTACTGGGGATTGAACTCAGGGGCACTCAACCACTAAGCCACATCCCCAGTCCTATTTTGTATTTTATTTTTAAAGACAAGATCTCACTGAGTTGCTTAGCGCCTCGCTTTTGCTGAGGCTGGCTTTGAACTCTGGATCCTCCAGCCTCACCTTCCAAGCCACTGAGATTACAAGCATGCTCCACCGCGCCCAGCCTCAAGACTTTGGATTTCTAAACTTAGTCATTTTATAAAAATATTAATTTTTTAAAAGTCAGCACGTATTGAAGTACAGGGAGTAAAAAATCAAATGTCTGCTTTAAAATAACTCAGGAAATAAAAGATGTTGAAAATAAATGCAACAGGGCTGGGGATTTGGCTCAAGTGGTAGCGTGCTCGCCTGGCATGCGCGCAGCCTGGGTTCGATCCTCAGCACCACATACAAACAAAGATGTTGTGTCCACCGAAAACTAAAAAATAAATATATTAAAAATTCTCTCTCTCTCTCTTAAAAAATAAACTGTTAAAAAAAAAGAAAATAAATTCAACAAAATCTACAACAGCTCAATGTGGGTAATGAGTATGTGAGTTCATTGTACTATTCTACTTCTGTCTCTTTGAAAATATTTTGAAAAGCTCATCATAGAGGGCTCATGACTACAATCCCCATACCTCTAATCTCAGTGTGATTCTTGAGGCTGAGACAGGAGAATAGCAAGTTTGAAGCCACTCATAGCAATTTAGCTAGGCCTAAACTAATTTAGAGACCCTGTCCCAAAATAAAAAATAAAAGCCAGTTGGGTGGCACACATCTGTAATCCCAGTGGCTCAGGAGGCTGAGACAGGAGGATTACAAATCCAAAACCAGCCTCAGCAAGGTAATGAGGCCCTGTCTCAAAACAAAATATACAAAGGGACGGGAATGTGGCTCAGTGGTTAAGATCCCCTGTGTTCACTCTTTGCCACATCTACTGTGAGAATGAAGACCATTCTCAGCAATCAGACTGTCAACATTCTAAAAAATGTCAACATTACTCTGAAGAACCCTCTGGAGGGATTTCAGTCATATCCATGTAGACCTCAGCCTCCTTGGAAAGAAAGAGAGGCTACGGTTGACAAATGGTGGGGAAATAGAAGGGAACTGGCCACTGTTCGCATGATCTGCGGTGATGTAGAGAACGTGATCAGGGTTTTTACACTGGGCTTCGTGACAAGATGAGGTCTGTCTATGCTTACGTCCTATTAACGTTGTTATTCAGGAGAGGAGAATGGGTCTCTTATTGAAATCCGAAATTTCTTGGGTGAAAAATACATCCTCAGGGTTCGGATGATGACAGGTGTTGCTTGTTCAGTGTCTCAAGCTCAGAAAGATGAATTAATTTTTGAAGGAAATGACATTGAACTTGTTTCAAATTCCAGCTGCTTTAATTTTGCAAGCCCCAACAGTGAAAAACAAGGATATCAGAAAATTTTGGGATGGTATTTATGTTTCTGAAAATGGAACAGTTCAGCAGGCTGATGAATAAGATCTAGGAGTGTTCCAGCCATAGAAACAAAGTCCTGGAGTCAATCTGATATTTCAGTGATGCAATAAAAGATCTCTATTAAAAAGGGCTGGAGATATAGCTCAGTGGTAAAGCACCCCTGGGTTCCATCCCTAGTGACATATTTAAGTACAGGGAGTATACTTAATTAAATCACAAAATGCTAGTCAAAGTTTCTATCCCTAGTACACTACCCACAAACACAGTAACAGTTTCTAAAAATTAATGTAAAATGGCTGGGATTGTGGTCCAGTGGTAGAGCACTTGCCTAGATGTATGAGGCACTGGGTTTGATCCTCAACACCACATAAAAAAAATAAAAGCGAATAAAATAAGGCTAAAAAATTAATGTAAAAATCTTTCATGTGCCAAAGCAATATCCAAACAAGAATTGAAAGTCAGACTTAATCCCCTGGGTATATCTTGGTTCAATCTTCCCAGGGTTGAGTCCCAATCACTTTAACAGTAGTGACTTGTGTGGACTGGATGGGCCTCCCCTATGAGCTAAAAACACTTTCTTTTCTCTTTTTTTTTTTTTTTTAGCAGGGCGGCAGGAGTACAGGGGAATAAACCCAGGGTGATTAACCACTGAAACACATCCCCAGCCCTTTCTAATTTTTTATTTGTTCTTTTTAGTTATACATGACAGTAGCAGGTATTTTGACATATCATATATACATGGGGTATAACTTCCTATTTTTGTGGTCCCAGCCCTTTTTATATTTTATTTCGAAACAGGGTCTCACCAAATTGCTTAGGGCCTCACAATCCTCCTGAGCCATTGGGATTACAGTGGGCACCACCATGCCCAGCAAAAGCGGTCTTTTTAATGACCAATCAGTCCACTAAATTCAGGTGGACCAGCTTGTCACATCACACCACAGAGCTTTCAGTTGTATCCCGATCTGGCCCAAGATTCGATTTTCTTACAATGACAATTGTAATGCTTCTAAACATTTGCATAGCACCTGGAAAATATATAAACACTGAATGGGGAACACACAATGGCTGTGAATATTGCTGAATTATTAATTGGAACATCTGGATCTGGCAATGACTTGGCCAAAGTCATTAACTAAACCAAAATATCTATGCTAGATACTTCACAGGGCTTAATTCAATTGAGAGAATAACTATGAGAAATGTTGGTAAATTTTAAAGCATGCTACTATTAATACTGATGATTTTTAAAATATAGATATCATAATGCAACACATATATACTATTACAGTAGAAAGGGGGATAATTATGTTTGGAAGGGAAAAAAAATCAGAAAAGCACCCTTGGAGAAGGTGGAACCTTAAAGTCTTTGGTACTGCATAGAGTTGCATAAATGGTAACAGAGGAACAGACATTGTAATACTGACCGACTCCGCCGCAGCAGTGGGCCAGGATGCAATGGAGGGCCTCGCTGTGCCTACAGGCAGGAGTAAATGACAGGCTGTGTGCATAGTGCACAGGAGGCTTTCTTGAGGTGTTTTATGAGCACATTCCTTTACTTTACAACCAAGGTGACTCTCTTCAGATTCTCTCCCAAGGACTGGAGATAAGAGGAATGGCCAGCTCCCCCTTCCCATTTCCCTCATTACCACATTCCTTTAGAGAACTTATCTCACTGCAAGTTTTCCCAGAAACTGGTTCATGTTTAACCCAACAATAAGGAAAGCCTTCTCAAGATTAATAGTGCTTTTGACCTAGAAATGCACAAAGTGGGGAACCAATGACACTACTGTTACTGGTGACTGGTAGCCACCTATTCTGGGCCCTGAGCATGGAGTCACACTGTGGGGCACAAGCACTGTTAGTTCTTTGACGATTTGATCTGAACCTCAAATTTATGCCCCGCCTCCAATTCATAGCACCTTTAAAAAAAATTTTTTTTAGTTGTAGATGGACACAATACCTTTCTTTTATTTTTTATGTGGTGCTAAAGATCAAACCCAGTGCCTTACACATGCCAGGCAAGCGTTCTACGCTGAGCCAAAACTCCAGCCCCTAAATGGTGAGATCTGGAGACCAAGAGAGATCCCAAAATGAAAGGAGACAGGGCACTCTTCCCCAGGCTCCTCTTGAAGCTTTACTTCTCAGGCCGTACAAACAAGCAACCACTTGACTAAACCAAAGAACTTTCTGATCCATTTCACTCCCAGGAATTGAAATCATCTTAGATTCCTTCCTGACTTATATTTTCATGATACGTAACAGCGTCCTCTGCAGTCTTCCCTGTCAGATCAATGACTTGTCTATGATCAGGTCCACTCTGTGCATCCTTCAGGAATCTCTCTATGATCCTAACTCTCCTTGGTTTCTGGATTTGTCGATATTAATAATGTATGACACAGTAAAGTCCATCAGTAAAAAACAATTTATTAAATAAGAATTTCAAAGGTAGAAGCAATAATTTTAAAAATATTTAACATTCATTAAACAAAAACACTCAATAGAAAGATTTTTCTTCCAGAAGATGGAAACCCTAAGGCTAAACTCTGTCATCATATATACAATTAATCACTCTGAGGTATCTTTATACAAAAAGGGAAAATTTAATAATGTCCCCAAACAAAGAGGTAAACAAACAGAATAATTGAAAATAGGGACTATACCTTTTTTTTGTGAGTGTGATACTGAGGATGGGGAGATTGAACCCCAGGGGGCTATACCACTGAGCCACACCCTCAGCCTTTTTTATTTTGAGACAGGGTCTTGATAAGCTGCCCAGGCTGGGATTGAACTTGGGATTCTCCTGCCTCAGCCTTCCAAGTTGCTGGGGTTATAGGCATGCATCACTGTGCCCAACTTGCAGATACAATTCTTATGACTGAATCTATAAATCAAATTAGTTTTGAAATTTTAGACTTAAAAATGTAAAGCTTAGATCCAAAATTTAATCCATCTTTAAAGTTGGTAAAAAAAAATCTTGTCAATTTTTTTTTTTKGGGGGGGGGGTCTGGTACCAGGGATTGAACTCAGGGGCACTTGACCACTGAGCCGCTTCCCAATTTCCCAAGTTGCGCCACCGCGCCCGGCCTCAAACTCTTTATCTAGGTCATACAAAAATGAATTTATCATACTTATAAATTTAGACTTTCCAAAGTTTGGAGCACATCTGTACTGGAAAAAAGGTAGTGTTAAATTTTGTATGGCAATAGAATTTTATGTTAATAAGATGAAAAGTCATTTTCATAGTTTAACCAAACACGGCCTTTATAGCAAAGCTAAATTATGAATCTTAGACACGAGCCAAGAGACACTGTCCAGACATCAAAAAGCAAGGAAAACAGCATTTTATCCTCTTTGAAAATCATCCAAAATGTTACAGAGACTTTCATGTTCTCTTGATGGGAGATCAATGATGTAGGACAAATTAAGGAAGATACACTAAACACAGTATGAAATTGCACAAAAACATTCATGACATTATTTCACATTTTGTGATTTGGTTTACTACAAAGAAATGTCAAGATCTTATGGTATTCTATGGATACTTATACACTGAGGCAATAAGATTTATATATTTTAATCTAAGACTGTAAAATAAGGCAAGGGATGTAGTCAATGGTAGAGTCATTGCCTAACATGCATGAAGCCCAAGTTCAATTGTCAGGAACAAATAATATCCATAAAATAAAAAATAATGGAATGTGCTGGGCATAGTGGCACATGCCTGTAATCCCAGTGGTTTGGAGGCTGAGGCAGGAGGGTGGTGGGTTCAAAGCCAGCCTCAGCAACAGCGAGGTACTAAGCAATGCTGAGGATTGAACCCAGGGCCTCACGCTTGCGAGGCAAGTACTCTGAGTGGCAACTGAGCTACAACCCCAGCCCTCTACCCTCCCCCCCGCCCTTTTTTTCTTTTTGGTACTAGGGATTAACCACTGAACCACATCCCCAGCCCTTTTTATTTCTTGTTTTAAGACAAGGGCCTTGCTAAGTTGCTGAGTCTGGCCTTAACTTGCAATCCTCCTGTCTTAGCCTCCCTAGTTGCCAGGATTACAGCTGTGTGCCACCACACCTGGCTCAGTTTTTAAATGTAATATTTTACCTTGGTTTGAAAACAAAGTTATAAATTTGGAGTTGCAGAACCAGAGGGATAACCCATTTTCCTGCACCTGCGATTTGTAGGACAATGGATCACATTCCTTTTTTCTCTTCCTCAGTTCAGAAACTATCCTTCTCCATCAACTCATTACTTCAATACTGGCTTACATGACTTCCTGAATATTGTTCTCTTTCCTTTTCTGAATCAGATCTTTGAAATATGCCCATGGAAAACGTAAGACTCTGAATCTTAATTTATATAAGGACATAAAGTACTCACAGTAGCACAATTGAATGTGACCATACACGTAATAAAAAGGATATTAATTTTTCTGCGTTTAGATAACAAAATAACTTCTCCAAAGGAGGATAGCGCTTCAGTGAGGACACGCAGCCCAGGAGAATCAGTTTATGTTTGGCTCTGGTGATAGCAACATTGAGACGTCGCCAATCTTTCAAGAGTTCACCAAGCTGTAAAATAAATAATTTTAGATTCTTTGAGTTTTCTTACACTGTATGTTTGAGTTTGTTTTGACACAGAACTTAGCTTATCATGAAGTATTTCCCTACTTTTAAAATATGAATTATAAAAAAGATTTATCAACACAATTACAATTCTAGGCAGCTAGAAAAAAAACTTGCCAACCTCAAATATTTTATGTTGTGATATCCTAGGCACATTTTTAAATTATTAATTACAAGTAACAAAAAGGACTAAAGCTATCTCCATTCACTGTAGCAATGTTTATAATAGTAATTAAAATTGTGAAAATAGAGGAGTAAATACAACATGTCTATACACTGGCAACTACGAAACTGAAAATAAATAAATAAATAAATAAACAAACAAACAAATAAATTAAACCCTTCCTTTGTGTACTCACATGGAAAGATTTCTAACATATTTTAAGTCAAAAAAGCAAAGTCTGGAATATTATCTAGAAGACTGCAAAAATAACTAAAAAGATGTGAGTATCTCTAATATAAGAACCGAGTAGATGAGCAGTAGAGGAGGAAGGAGATTTTATACATATTTTAAAGACCATAAGAATGTATCAGGGGGCTGGGGATGTGGCTCAAGCGGTAGCACRCTCGCCTGGCATGCGTGCGGCCCGGGTTCGATCCTCAGCACCACATACAAACAAAGATGTTGTGTCCGCCGAAAACTAACTAAGTAACTAACTAACTAAATAAATAAATAAATATTAAAAAAAAAAAAGAATGTATCAGGTAGTCAAGAAAAATAAAGGGGTAAAAATGCAAACAAAAACAAAATAAAATAAAATCTGTAATTATATTTAATGTCAAAGTATATAAGGAAGGCTCTGTGTTTAAAATGCCTAGCCATGTGTGGTGGCACACACCTGTAATCCCAGAAACTTGGGAGGCTGAGACAAGAGCATTGTAAGTTCTAGGCCAGCCTGAACACCCTAGTGAGATCCTGTCTCAAAATAAAAAACAAAAAGGCGAGGATAGCTTGATGGTCAAGTGCCACTGGTTCAATGCCCAATGCCCAAAACAAACAAACAACCACAACAACAAAAAAACCCACAAAGCCTCAAACACAATATCCGAGAGGTGAAAGCAACCCAAATGTCCATCCCATGGATAAATAAAACATGGTACGTATAGACATGGGAACACTTAAAGAAAAAAAATACTGACATATGCTACAACATGGATGAACACAAGTGAAATAAGATAATCACAAAAAGACAAATACTGTTTGATTTCATTTATACCCAGAAAAGTCAAATTCAGAGACAGAGAGCAGAATGGTGGTTATAGGACTGAAGTGGGGCATAATGGAGAGTTTTTCATGAGTACAGAATTTTAGATCTGCAAAATGTAAAAGTTCTGGAATCTCTTGAACAACAACATGAATATACTTAAGTCTACTGAATTGTGTACCTAAAAATGGTTAAAATGGAGCCAGAACAGTGGCATACACCTGTGGTCCCAGCTACTCAAGAGACAGAGGCAGGAAGGTCACAACTTTAAGGCCAGCTTGGGCAAAGTAGCAAGATCTTGTTTTAAAATATAAAATGAAAAGGGAACTTGGGCACTGTGGTTGTATACCCCCAGGGGATTACAGTCAGGAGGACTGCAAATTCAAGGGTAGCCTCAGCAATTGAGCAAGACCACAAACTGAGTGAGGCCCTAAGCAACTTATGGAAACCCTGTCTCAAAATTTAAAAAACAAATAGAAAGGGCTGGGGATGCAGCTCATCAGTAAAGCATGCCTGACTTTAATTAATCCCCAGCATTGCTCCTCTCCAAAAAAGATTAAAATGGTAAATTTCATTTTTCTTTTTTTATTTTTAACCACAATTTAAAAAAGAGTGCTAGAGGTGTAGCTCAGTGGTAGAAGACTTGCCTAGCACACACAAGGCCCTGGACCCCAAATGAAAAAAATGACAGAAAGAGAGAGAAGACAGAGACTATGACTGATTCTCGAACGAGTCAGTGGCAAATACAATCAACTTACGGTTCCATCCTTATTACTTCTAACAAAAGACACTAGGATGATTCTTTTGTCTCTTCCTTGGTATTTATCTACTGTATTCACTTCCACCATCTTAACAGAAGAATGTTCCAACAAATCATTGATGATCTTTAATTGCTGTCTATATGGTGCAATGATACCAATATCAGAGGGATTACATCCAGCCTAAACAGAAAAGGACACAGTTTTAAATGAAGAATCCCGACTTTCATTCCTTCGATTTTGAGAGATTTATGAAGGATAATGGATAATGGCTTATGGGCCACTAAAAAGGGCTACCCCACAAAAGAAGAGCACACAGAAAACCCATCCCCGTGTAAAAGTTCCCAATGCCCAATCACATTAACTACAGCAACAGAGTGACACGATTAGACAAAACCATCCTAGATGGAAAACCCAAATGTCCTTATTAAAAAAGACATCTTGAATTAATTTTCTCCAAATGAAGCAAAAACAATAGGGCTTCAGTCCTTCTATGTTAACAAGAGTTAAAACCAGATCTTAAATTTCCTATTACTCTGCTCCTTAATATTGATTAGCCTTAAAAATTCTAAATTACCTTAATAAACATTGAGGTCAGAAAAACTATGAGTTTGGCTTCTGTTACGTTGCTCACACCACCTTTGTCAACTTGTTCTGGTGCTGGAACCTAAGTTAAAAAAAATACGTAGTTCACTTATAATACAGTCTCTAAAGTTCAGAGTACTTAAGTGTGCAGGTAGCTTAGAAACTCCACTGCTATGGTTTGGAGACAGGAGAAATATTGTTGAAGTGAAGGTGAAAAAAAAAAAATCAATAGAAATGAATATGAGCACTTTTAAAAAGGAACATGAGGGCAACTCAACTTAAACATGCTGTGCAGTTCAGACTAAAATCTCTAGGAAAGCTGACCTTACGCTGGGCTTCACGTAATTCACTCTATTACCTTACCTTTTATAGGAATCAAAGGCAGACTAACAAGTAATTTTCCCAGGGCCTCACAACAGATCCTGACACAAGATTCAAACTTAGACCTGGTTGTAGTACCAGTTTTTACATTTTCTTGTCTCCTTTTATACAAATAATGGGAAAAATAAGGGTGCTAGGCTCTGCCAAACCTGATATAACTCTCTAAGGAATACTTTACATCATCCACATTATTTACCTACATTATCCCTATGCAACCTCGATTATTTTTTTTCATCTCTTAAAAAATATTATTTTAGTTGCAGATGGACATAATACCTTTATTTTGTTTATTTATTTTTATGTGGTGCTGAATAAAGAACTCAGTACCTCACACATGCAAGCCAAGTGCTCTACCACTGAGCCCCAGCCCCAGCCCCCATCTCCTTTTTTTATTTTTAAATTTTTGGTACTGGGGATTGAATCAAGAGGTACTTAATCATGGAGGCACATCCCCAGCTCTTTTCATTTTTTATTTTGAATCAGGGTATCACTAAGTTGCTGAGAAYCTCATTAAGTTGCTGAGGCTGGCTAGGAACAATCTGACTTAATAACAAGACAAGTATTATTTTGGGGGTGCTGGGGATTAAATCCAGGACCCCACACATGCTGAAATAGTATTGTATCACTGAGCCACACCCTGGCCCAAAAGACAATTATTTTAGAGGAGTATGCATATATATAACTGGTCACTATACTTTTATTTGAACTTCCAACTCAATGTTGAGAAGCATTATATAAAACAAGGTAGGCAGGCATATAGCTCAGTAGCAGAGCACTTGCCCAGCACCTGGTTCCAATCACCAACATTGCAAAATAAATAAGTGAATAAATAAAACAAGCCAGGTGTGGCGGAACACACCTGTAATCCTAGCAGCTCAGGAAGCTGATGCAGGAGGATCAAAAGTTCAAAGACAGGGCTGGGGATGTGGCTCAAGCAGTAGCGCGCTCGCCTGGCGTGCGTGCGGCCCGGGTTTGATCCTCAGCACCACATACAAACAAAGATGTTGTGTCTGCCAAAAACTAAAAAATAAATATTAAAAATTCTCTCTCTCTCTCTCTCTTTAAAAAAAAAAAAAAAAAAGTTCAAAGACAGCCTCAGCAACTTAGTAAGGCCCTAAGCAACTTGGCAAAACCCTATCTCAAAATAAAAAGGGCTAGGGATGTGTTTTATTGGTTAAGTGCCTCTGGGTTCAATCCTCTCCCACAAAATGATTAATTTTGACATCTATCAACCCCCAAAATAAATCTCCTCCCCCAAATATTGGGCTATAGAAAGAAAAGACTCTTGTGTTGAAGTGGGAGAAGTACACATCAGTTTTGCCTTTCTACTGATAAGGTCCAGTGAAACGTATACTAATAGAAACTGAGAAATTTAATTAACAGAACAAAAGCAGTAAAACCAAAAGAAAAAATATTTTTTACCTTTTCTGTATTAAGAAAACAAACAGGATTGTTTGGCTCAAATACTCCAATCAGCCAAGGATTATCAGAATAATCAGCATAGAATTCCAGTTCCAGCTTTACATCTTTAAAGTGAGGTAGGTTTATCACTGCATTGGCCACTTTGTCTGATCCACACTCCAGCTTTCCATCATAGGTCAGCTTATTACTTAGAGACATAATTTTACTAAGAGAATTGCAAAACACAAACTTAAGTTCTGGTACATGAAAATGTGTACATTAAAAAACATTTATTGCTGACACTGTTATAAATACCTGTTCATTCTGTACTGCACTGTTAACTGTACAACAGCATTTTGATTCTTCTCCAGCCTCTTGAATAAGCTTTCACTCATGCCAAGAGCACTGTCAAAAATAAATAAATAAATCAAATTCAGGCTTATCATTATAGTAATATTGTCCCTTAAAAAGAATCCAGTTTTKGGGCTGGGGATGTGGCTCAAGCGGTGGCGAGCTCGCCTGGCATGCGTGCGGCCAGGGTTCAATCCTCGGCACCACATACAAACAAAGATGTTGTGTAGGCTGAAACTGAAAAATAAATATTAAAAATTTTTTAAAAATGTTAAAAAAAAAATCCAGTTTTGGGGCTGGGATTGTGGCTCAGTGGTAGAGCGCTCACCTAGCATGTGCGAGGCCCTGGGTTCGATCCTCAGCATCACATAAAAATAAATGAAATAAAGGTAGTGTGTCCAACTACAACCAAAAAAACAAATATTAAAAAAAAAAAAAGAATCCAGTTTAAAATTAAAATTTAAAGCTGGGCATGATGTTGCACATCTGTAACCCCAGTAGCTCAGGAGGCTGAGGCAGGAGGTCCACAAGTTCAAAGGCTAACCTCAGCAAATCAGTGAGGCCCTCAGCAACTTAGCGAGACCCTGTCACTAAATAAAAATAAAAAGGGTTGGGGATGTGGCTCAGTGGTTAAATGCCCCTGGGTTCATACCCTGCACCCAGACACCAACAAATAAATAAGTAAATAAATAAATGAATTTAAAGATAGGCATGCTAGTGTGAGCCTATAGTCCCCAGGTACTTGGGAAGCCAAGGCCGGAGGAAGTTGAGCCCAGAAGTTAAGAGGCCAGCCTGGACAACCCAGAGAAAGCCTAACTCTATTACATCAAAATACAACAAAACTTAAATACCTGCCTACCTTGCTTCTGGGTTTAGCACCAGGGGAGGAAGCTGCTGATGATCCCCCACCAACACGAATCTCTGAGCAAAAAAAAGTGGCCCCAGGCAAACTGGTTGGCTAATTTGAGATGCTTCATCCACGATACAAAAATCAAAGGTTCTACGGGAAAATATTGGATGGCTTATTCCCATGCATGTTGTTGCAACTATAAGCTAAAAACAAATGAAGAAAATAGATTAGTCATTTAGTATATGAAAGAAATACAGTTTGGTTTTTCCCATTTTTGAAATTAAAAGATCAAAACCAATTTTTGGCCCCTAGTAGCAAGAATTCTCCAATATTATTTAATTCTGAAGCATTTATAGTATGTAAAAGTGGTTTTTAATTTTTTTCTACAAATAAAAAAAAATCAAGTAAAAATTTTCAGACATTATGAATAATGCTCAGGCTTAGTGTTTCTAAATGCAAATCTGAAACATTTAAGAGGCAAGAAGTTAGTTAATTTCTTTAAAAATGTCCACTAGGTTTCCTTATTCTTCCCACAAAGTACTTCTAAAAACCTAGACCAGAAATGTAGCTCAGTGAAAGGGCACCTGCCTCACGGGCGCAAGGCCCTATGTTTGATCCTCAGCACTGAAAATAAAAACAAAAGAAACAAACAGAGGGGAAGAAAAACCCTCAACCATAGCCCCAGCCCCCCTAGTGCCAAGAAAGGCTGAGTAGGCAGCCTAGATTGCAGCCCTCCATGCTGTAACAAGGCACCCTAGTAACCACTGGGTGGTACTGGAGGCCAAGCAGGGGATCAGGCCATAATTCATCTCCGCAATGTCAACAGAGAGCACATGGGAAGTCAAAATCCCAAGACCACTTACCCCAAAGTGTTCTGGGAAGTTTGGCTTCCCATGGAGGTGGGAAGTGGGGGGTGGGGGGTGAGGGATGGGGACGGGTAGGCAGGGAGACTGCACTTCCACTCCCACTGAAGTAATGAGGTGGCACAACTTCCTCTCCTACCAGAGCACACAGAGCAAGCCAACTCATACAGATCTCTTCAGTAACACAATGCCAACATGCTCAAGTTTCAATCAAAATTCACTCTTTATAAACTAGAACGAGGAAAATCTCAAACTAAATGAAAAAAAATAGGTAGACTCAGCAAAGAAACAGACGATAAAAAGAACCAAATGGAAATTTTAGAACTGAAAATACAGTAAGTGAAGCCAGGCAGAGCGGTGCTCGCTTGTGATCTCAGCAGCTTAGGAAGCTGAGGCAAGAGGATCTCAAGTTCAAAGACAGACTCAAAAACCTACTAAGACCCACTCTTAAAATAGCACAGGATGAAGTGCCCTTGGGGTAAATCCAAGCAAGGAAGGAATTAATTAATTTACAGAATCATTGACCTGAGAGAATTCTCCACAAAATTTAAAAATATCCACTACAAAACATATTATAATGAAAATTCTGAAAACTGAAGGGGAAATCAAATTTTCCACACTGAAGGAAAATGAAGAGAATTGGTTTCCAGTTTACCTATCATCCTAAAAGAATTGATAAAGTTAGTTCTCTAAACAGAAAGGATATAATAAAAAAGAAAATCAGGAACATCTAGAGGGAACAAAACACACAGTAAGCAAAACTATAGATAAAAACAACAGGCTTTTCAAATTTATGTTCAATTATTGAAACAAAACTTATAATTGTCTGATCTAGTTCTCAAATTAAATTAAGATGATTACATTATAAGCAGAAGAGGGAAGTAAAGGGTCTCCAACTTCATCTGAACTGGCAAAATGACACTAGATTATGATGGTATATAATATAATATAATGCCTTGAAAAAAATCACTGAAAGTTATTCAAAGAGATACTCCCCAAAATACTATAGATCAAGACCGGCTTGGTGGTGCACTCCTGTAATCCCAGCGGCTTGGGAGGCTGAGGCAGGAGGATCACAAGTGCAAAGTCAGCCTCAGCAAAAGCAAGGCACTAAGCAACTCAGTGAGACCTTGTCTCTAAATAAAATACAAAATAGTGCTGGGGATGTGGCTCAGTGCCCCTGAGCTGTTTAATCCCCAGTACAAAAAAAAAAAAAACTATAGATCAGGGCTAGGGATGTAGCTTAGTAGTAGAGCACTTGCCTTACATGTGCAAAGCCCTGGGTTCAACGCTAGTACTACAGGAAAAAACCCATAAAACAAAGATTAAAACATAAATAAATAAATAAGTCTGAAAGGCTATTGGTTTGTTTTTTTGGTGAGTTTAAAAGTGGCCTAGGAAGGACTGGGCTCAGTGGTAGAGCATTTGCCTAGCATACAAAAAGCCCTAGACTCAATCCCCAGGACTGGGGGGAAAACAAACTACAGCTACATCAAAATGAAAATGGGGCAGGGCACAGTGGTGCAAGCCTGTAATCAAGCCAGCCTCAGCAATTTAGTGAGGCCGTAGCAACTTAGCGAGACCCTGCCTCCAAATAAAAATTTTAAAAAGGTCTAGGGATGGGCTGGGGATGTGGCTCAAGTGGTAGCGCGCTCGCCTAGCGTGCATAAGGCACTGGGTTCGATTCTCAGCACCACATATAAATAAATAAATAAAGGTCTATCAACAACTAAAAAATATTTTTTWAAAAATGTATCTTAAGGGGCTGGGATTGTGGCTCAACGGTAGAGCGCTTGCCTAGCATGGGCGGGACCCGGGTTCGATCCTTAGCACCACATTAAAAAAAGGCATTGTGCTGTGTCCATCTACACCTAAAAAATAAATATATATTTTTTAAAAAGTATCCTAAAAAAAAAAAAGAGTGAGAGATAACTGGCAGAATGGAGGATTGAGAGTTTAAAGCCAGTCCCAGCAATTTATCAAGTCCCTTAACTTAGCAAGATCCTGTCTCAAAATGAAAAAATAAAAAGGCTGGGGGTGTGGCTCAGTGCCTCTGGATTTAATTCCTGGTACCAAAAAAAAAAGAGAGAGAAAGCGAGATTGGCAAAACATGACTTACCTATCTACAAAAGACTCACTTCAAAACAATAATACAGGCATGTTAAGAGCAAATGGATGTATAACTAATTAGAATAAATTTTAAAATTAAAAAAAAAAGAGCCAATGGATGGGAATGGGGTTCAGTAGTAAAATATTTACCTAGCATAAGCAATGCCTTGTATCCAATCTCCATCACCACACACACAAAAAAAGGAATCAAATAAATGGAGTATTAAACTTGATTTTCATATGTAGAACAGTCCTTGCATTATGAGAATATATCTTTCTTGGTTATGGTATATTATGCTCTAAGTATGCTGCTGAATTCAGTGTGCTAGTATTTTGTTGGGCATTTTTTCATCACATAAATATGCCCACAGGTGCAAAAAAATTCAATGGAGGAATGGTGGTCATTTAACAAGTGGTACTGGAATAACTGGAAAATCATAGGCCAAAAAAAATTAACTTCAACCTAAATCTCACACCGTACAGCACAAATTAAACTCAAAATGGCCACAGACTTTGGGCTGGGGTTGTGGCTCAGTGGTAGAGCGCTTGTTTAGCATGAGGGAGGCACTGGGTTCCATCCTCAGCACCACATAAAAAATAAAATAAAGATATTTTGTGCACCTATAACTACAAAATAAAATATTTAAAAAAATGGCCACAGACTTAAATGTTAAAGATAAAACTTAGGAAAAAATTAGGATATTGCCCTCACCTCTAGACTAGACTAAGAGTTCTTAGATTCAGTACCAAAAACACAATCCATAGAAGGAATACATTTATTTTATTTTTTTTTTAACTTTTTTAATATTTATTTTTCAGTATTTGGCGGACACAGCATCTTTGTCTGTATGTGGTGCTGAGGATCGAACCCGGGCCGCATGCATGCCAGGCTAGCGCGCTACCACTTGAGCCACATCCCCAGCCCCAGGAATACATTTATATACTGGGCTTTATAAAAATTATTTAGTTCTGCAAAAGACCCTGTAAAGAGGAAGAAAAGACAAGCTACCATCATTTGCAAACCACATATCCAATAAAGGACTCGTATCTAGAATATATTTAAAGAACTCTCAAAACTCAACAGTAGAAAACTAAATTATCCAAAATGGATAAAAGATATGAAGAGATATTTCACTGAAGAGGGTAAATATGAATGACAAGCACATGAAAATATCATTAGTGACTGGGGAAATGCTAATTAATAGCCATTTGATCCAGCAATTCCACTACAAGGTAGATATCCAAAGGAAATCAAATCATATATTGAAGATAACTCTGCTCTCCCATGTTTACTATAGCACTATTCACAATAGCCCAGAAATATAAACAACCTAAGTACCCACTGACTGATGAACGTATAAAGAAGATGTAGTACATACACACAAAGTAACACAGTGTTCAACAACATGCATGGACCTGGAGGTCATTATGTTAAGTACCAGGCACAGAAAGATCTTTAGCATATGACCTTACTCATTATTTGTGATCTAAAATAGCTGATCTCAGAAGTTTTAAGTAGAATGTTGGTTACTAGACATTGGGGAGAGTAGAGGGGAAGGAGAGATGGGGAGAGGCTGATCCATAGGTATAAGGTAAAGTTAGATGCCAGCAAGAAGTTCTGGCGTGTCAGTGCACAGTAGGGTAACTATGGATTTGGAATGTTTTGACCATAAAGATGTGATAAATGAAGAGAAAAATGTTGTCCTTATTTGAACATTAGAGAATGCATACACATATCAAAACATCTTCTATAAATAAGCATGACTTTCTTGTATCAGTTCCCTCTCTCCCTCCATCCCCCCTGCCCCCAGTACCAGGGCATTTAACCACTGAGCCACACCTCAGCCCTTTTTAATTTGAGACAGGGTCTCATTAAGTTACTTAGCGCTGAGTTGCTGAGGTTACATTGAACTTGCAATCCTCCTGCCTCAGCCTCCTGAACCATTGGGATTGCACCGCTGTGCCCAGGCTCATATATCAATTTTAAATAAATAAAATCATAATGAGATATCACTATATACCTATCAGGATGACTAAAACAAAAAACTGTACCACCACCAAAGGCTGACAAGGATCACACATGCGTTGCTGGTGGAAATGTAAAATGTTACCGATGCTATAAAAAGTAATTTGGTAGATTTTTCTTTTTAATATAAACATGCAGGGGTGGGGATGTAGCAAAGGGGCCAAGTGCTGGCCTAGCACACACCAAGCCTTGGATTCAATTCCCAGTTCAACAAGAACTACCCTCCAAAAAGCAGGCAGCTATCAAATGACACAGAAATTGCACTCCCAGGAATTTATAGCAGAGAAACATTTTGGAACAATACTCAACAATAAAAAGAAACAATCTGCAGAGCAATCTAGGTGGATATCCAGATAATAGGCAGAATAAAAAATGCCAACTCCAAAAAGTATGACTTCCTTATTGTAACATTCTTTTCTTTTTTAAAATAAATTAATTTATTTATTTTACAGTGCAATGCATTTTGACATATTGAACACAAACGGAGCATAACTTCTCATTCCTCTGGCTGTACGTGGTGCAGAGTCACTCTAGTAGTGTAATCATACGTGTACATAGGGTAAAAATGTCTGCCTCATTCTATGGTCCTTCCCATCCCCAAAGCCCCACCCCTCCCCTCACTCCCCTCTACACAAACTAAAGTTCTTCATTATTCCCTATTTCCACACCCCACCTTGGATCAGCATCCACTTATCAGAGAAAACTTATTAGTTGTTGATGAACCTTTATTTTATTTATTTATTTATATGCAGTACTGAAAATCGAAGCCAGTGCTTCACACATGCTAGGCAAGCACTCTACATGGAGCCATGAGCCCAGCCCATAGTATAATATTCTTAAATGACAAAAATATAGAAATGAAGAATACATTAGTGGTTGTTAGGGTTAGGGAGAATTGGGCAGGAGAGAAAAGAACATGAGGAATCCTTATGGTGATAGAGCATAGACTGTATCCATGGCAAGATGGCAACAATGTAATTATAGGGGCTAGGGTTGTAGCTCAATGGAAGAACGCTTACCTACCATGTGTGATGCACTAGTTCAATTCTCAGCACCACATACAAATAAATAAAATAAAGTTATATCAACAACTTAAAAAAAAAAAAAAAGCACCTAGTTATATACTACAGAACTGCAAGATGTTACCAATGGATAGTTGGAACACTGCCGCTGTCCGGCTGGGCAAAATAACCGGGAGGTGACAAGCAACTTGAAGGTTGAARCGGGAATTGCTTTATTGCGGGGAAACTCAGCGGGAAGTGAGCAGGAACTCAAGGTAGCGGGTACTCAAGGTAGTGGGCACCCAAGGTAGCGGGAGCCGCTTTATTGCAAAACAGCAGAGGTATATATACCTAACTGATTACACACAGCTCGACTCAATTAGCATCATCCAGTTACAGCAATCAGCCAATAAGGAATCCCTACCATCTTAATGGCTCGGTGGCATTGCCTCACAAACCACTCTTCCTGGCAAACTGCCAGGCGCCATCTTGACTTGATTTGTGGTCCGCAACAGAACACRGTATCCATTATTTCTTGCAACTATATGTGAATCAATAATTACCTCAAAATGCAAAGTTTGTTTTCTTGTAGTGCTGTGATTAAACCCAGGGCCTCACCAATGCCAATGGTGACAAGACCTCAACCACCCAGCTACAACCCCAGCTCTCAAAATACAAACTTTAACTTAAAAAGTCAACCAGGAGGTCTGGGGATATAGCTCAGTGGTAGAGCACTTCTCTACCATTAGCAATGGTTGAGGCCTTGGGTTAAATTTCCAGCAAAATACACACACACACACACACACACACACAAAGTCAATCAGACTTTTTCATCTTAAATCACTTCAAAATCCATCAATAATTTCAATAATTGCTATAGATTTAGGCAAAACTGTATTAATACTGGACAAAGGAGTTGAATGAAGAGCCTATTAAATCCAATCTAAAGACAAAATTAAACTAGGAATTGATTTTTTTCTTTTCTTTTTTTTTTTTTTTTTTTGGTATTAGGAAACACTCTACCTCCAAGCCATATTCCTAGCTGTTTTATTTTGAGAAGAAGTTTCTAAGGCTGGCCTCCACATCTGGCTAATTTTAGTTGATTTTTAAAGACAAAAATATCAATGAAAACTTCCCACTAAAAATAGAGATTAAATAATAAAATAAAAATTAGGAAAAAAAAAGAAAGAAAAATAAAAAATTAGGTTCTATACCAAAGTCTCTATAAATACTTATAAGACTTAGGTATCAAGACTTCTAATTCAAACTCACTAAAACATCCTGATTATTATTCATTTTCTAGAAGGAGGCATTCATGAGGAATAATCAAAAATCTCATTCCAGTTTTGTAGGAAACAATGAGCTACACATTAATATACTCTCCCTGAGATAAATATATAAATTAATCACATGTAAATCTGGTCAATGTGACTTAATTTCCCAGAGTATCATTTCTCCTTCATTCTAGCCACAGTAATTACTATCAGCATTATACAGTAATTGTACTTACTTGACAGTTGTAAAGTTCTTTTAGAAGAGCTAAGGATTTAATGGACTTAGATCGGCAAATTTCTTCTTCTGTAAATTTCCGGATATCTGGATGAACCTTTTGAGTCTGACCCAAACGCAAAAATCCTATTTGAAACTTGGCTAACTTCAAAAGTATATTGTCAACAGCAGAATGTGTATAGCTGGTTAACAAAACACTAAAACCACAGGCATAGAGGATTCTTACCTAATAAAGGATAAGAAAGAAAATAAGCATTACTTTTACATTTCAGGTAATTTTTTAAAAATATTTATTTTTTTAGTTGTAGGTGGACACAATATCTTTATTTTATTTATTTTTATGTGGTGTTGAGGATCGAACCCAAGGCCTCACATGTGCTAGGCAAGTACACTACCACTGAGCCACAAGCCCGGACCCCATTTCAAGTAATTTTTAACATGCTTATATTTTTTACATGGAACTACAAAGCTCAATAGGAAGTATATGTAAGAACTAAGCCAAGTAACTTAAAAAAATTATAAGGCCAAAATGTTTTCAAAAATTATATGGCATTATTACTGTATGTTATTAATAATATAACTGATAATAAAATTGAATACATGTAAACTTTTAATTGTATGTGGCACAAGTGTTTCAACCAATAAATATTTGCTGCCATCATTGATTACTTACTCTACAACTGCTTAGAAAATTAATGAAATGAAAAAAATTCAAGAAAATTGATTTCAATCATTTCTGCATGACTTACCATTTGTAAATGAAAAGGAAAACATAGTGACACATATCACACACCAACAGAAAAAGAACTTAAAAAATTTGAAATGCAAGAAATCCAAAACAGGATTCTACTTATAATTCAGCTCTATTATTTCTCATGTCATTCTAAAAAGTTGATTTGAAATAAATATTCTGAATTAAAATTCAGCCATTTTAATATCAAATAGAATATCTTCTCAATTSAGAAGCTGATATAAATATTGAGGTTCTAAGAAAAATAATAATAACCTTACGAGAGTACATATTGTAGTTGTTTTTCCTGTCCCAGGCATACCCACAATGAGGGTATAGTCTTTTGAAAGAAGAACCTTTTTCATTGCTTGTCTCTGAGGCTTATTCAATCCTACATTTAAAATAAAAAAGTAACAAGAAAAAGAGTATTAAATTTCAGGGAATAAATTCACTAATTTAGAAGAAAAGCAATCTCTCTCTCTTTTTTTTTTTTAATATTTATTTTTTAGTTCTCGGCGGACACAACATCTTTGTTGGTATGTGGTGCTGAGGATCGAACCCGGGCCACACGCATGCCAGGCGAGCGCGCTACCGCTTGAGCCACATTCCCAGCCCGAAGAAAAGCAATCTCAATCTGAATTTTCTTAAATATGTCTTTTCAAAGTTAAAAAAATATATAAATTATGGCAACTTTTCTTTTTTTTTCCCGTTTGGTACCAGGGATTGAACCCAGAGAGGCTTAACCACTGAGCCACATATATAGCCCTTTCTGAGACAGGGTCTCACTAAGTTCCTTAGAGCTTTGCAAAATTGCTGAGGTTGACCTTGAACTTGTGGTCCTCCTACCTCAGCCTCCCCAGTCATTAGGATCACAGGTGTGCTCCACTACACCCAGCTTTATTATGGCGTTTTTTAAGGATGTATAAAAACTWCTTCCAAAAAGCCCCTATGTAAATATTAGAATTCCTAGTCTAATTAATTAAGAAATGAGACTATTTCTTGGTTCTTGGTGTAAGTAGAATCAAGAAAAATTAACCAAAGTGCTGATTATAGCATACCCTTTAGAATGTTGGCAACTGTATCCTTTGCATCACGTGGAAGAACAGAGCTGAGGTAGGGTATAAACTGAGGTTCATGAAAGTCAATGATTAAATCTCGAAGTTTTTTGCTGAAAAGGAGATACATACTTTTAGTAATATTCTTTAGAAAGGTGGGGAGAAATTCAGATTCATTCATCGTTACAAACCTGGCATTAGTGTTCTCCATCAATTTAGAGAGATTTCCTAAAGGGGTATCTATATCACAATTTTTTTCTTCCTGGTCTATTCTGAACAGAGTTGACTCTGCAAGCACTGACAAGTTCCTAAAACAGCAGAACAAACATACATGAAAATTCTTCATTTTCCCATGGTCTATATAAGAGATATACTGCTATCTGCTAAAAGAGTTGATAAGCTAAGGTCAAAGCAATTAAGAACCAGGAACATGTAACATTTGTTGAAAATCCATTTGACCCTGCAATGTAACAGGAATTCACCATCCCCAGAAGGTTCTGAGCACCTGGCTCCTCCCTCCTCTAGCCTGAAGAATAGGTCTCCTCCTCCCACTCCTCTATCTGCTCCTTAAACCCTGCTATGGCCTACAGCCCCTTCCTTCCCTAGCCCACTGTGCTGCTCGCTCTTAGGATTTCCTTATGGTCCCAGGTCAACATCTTCTAGCCTATCCAAATTTCAGGTTTGAATATTTGCAGGCACCAAGATCTCTTTACCTGGCTAAAACCCAGGCTACAAAAGTTCAATATCTTTAAAATGGAACTCCTCATTCCTGTTGAACCTGAGCCTCTCCTCTTGGTGGGATCTCAGTTAACAGCACTTGAATCCTTTCCTCTCCCTCATCCTCTTTTCAGCCCCCATACCTAATCAGCACCTGACTCCCTGACAAACTTACTTTCAAGTTCATCAAAGTCACTATATCTGGTCAATGCTACTTCAATCACAGATAACCTGGGTCATTACAATACCTTCCTGGTTTCTCTTTCATTTAATTAATTCAAATCTCCAACAAGTAAATGCAAGACCAATTACCATGTACTCTTTAAAACCCTTCAGTAGAAGCTGGGCATGGTGGTGCATATCTGTAATCCCAGCAACTCTGGAGGAGGACAGGAAGATCAAGTTAAAAACCAGCCTCAGCAATTTAGTGAGACCCTAAGGAACTTAACAGATCATGTCTCAAAAAAAATCAAAAAGAAGGATGGGAATATAGCTCAGTTGGTAGAGTGCTTGCCTTGCATGCACAAGGTCCTGGGTTCAATCCCCAGCACCAACTCAATAAGATCCCATCTCTAATAAAATACAAAATAGGGCTGGGGATGTGGCTCAGTCATTAAGCGCCCCAGAGTTCAATCCCTGGTATCCAAAAACAAATGAAATACTGCTACATGCCACAAAATGAAGACGAATCTGAAAATCAATATGCTAACTGACAAAAAAACAGTCACATAAAGACCACATTAGCTGGGCGCAGTGGTGCATACCTGTAATCCAAGTGGCTCAGGAGGCTGAGGCAGGAGGAACGCAAGTTCAAAGCCAGCCTCAGCAATGGTGAGACACTAAGAACTCAGTGAGAGGGCTGGGGATGTGGCTCAAGCGGTAGCACACTCGCTCGCCTGGCATGCGTGCGGCCCAGGTTCGATCCTCAGCACCACATACAAAGATGTTGTGTCCACCGAAAACTAAAAATTAAATATTAAAATTCTCTCTCTCTCTTTAAAAAATAAAATGATTAAAATGGTAAACTGTATAAAGTATAAATAAAATACATATATTAAAAAAAAAAAAAGGACTCAGTGAGACCCTGTCTCTTAATAAAATACAAAAGAATACTGGGGATATGGCTCAGTGGTTGAGTGCCCCCGAGTTCAAAACCCAGTACCAAAAAAAAAAAAAAAAAAAGACCATATCAACCTTAAATGTTTGTGAGACAATGAAAGCAGTTTTAAGAGGGAAATTCATCGCCTGGAGGTCATTCCTCAAAAAAAGGAAAAACCAACAAATAAATGAGCTCACACTTCATCT